ATTTTTTTCATTGTCAGAGTAGTTAACAAATGGAATGCATTAAGCAGTGATGTGGTGAAGACTGACTCCATACACAGTTTCAAATGTAGATATGATAGAGCCCAGTAGGCTCCAGAATCTGTACACCAGTTGATTGAGTTGAGAGGCGGGACCAAAGAGCCGAAGTTCAACCCCCCGCAAGCATAACTAGGTGAGTACACACACAAGCAGCGAACCAGTGCCATCATTAACCGGGAGTAATTAATCTACGCTCTATAACTCTGCTCTCTGACCCTTATTTTATAAACCAAAAATAATCCTTTTGGTGCCTTTGAAGCTGAGAAAAGAAATCCTAATCATCGGGTCGTTAGAAATCTTTTGCAAATATTTTTTGGTATGTAGTATTTTGGGCGTTGAAATTTAGAGTTTTGTTAAGGGGATAATGGGAAGTTCAGATTTCTTTAACTTGTTGTTATTCATGGATGTGATTCATATGACGGGTGTTCAATGTGTTAGGTAGAAACATATTTGTCATTTTTAAATTATATTGTTCTTTACGTACACTCAGTTGTGTGAACGATGACCGAATGTTCTAGTTGATTATGTGTGTGTATTTATCTCTAGAATTCGCTTTAATTCCGGGGAGAAATTGATTATGGAAGTCTCACTATTTTGCACTTTCTGATAACTGGGATTGTCGGGGACTCAAACCCATACTGCCAGAAGCACTCAGCAACTGGCGTACAGGACACCTTAACCACTCGACCATCACGACCGAACAAAAAGATGAAGGTAGCCGAGGCTAATTCCCCATCATCCCGCCGACACTCTGATGGTAATCTTGGGCATGGTATTTTATCAAATCACCTCATTCTTTGGGGCACACGTGAGGAACACAAATGCGAACAAGCCTGAATGGTCCCCAGGCATATATGCAACTGAAAACTCACACCCCAGAAGTGACTCGAACCCATACGGCCAGGAGCACTCTGCAACTGGTGTACAGGACCAGTTGTCGTGTGGTCGAGTGGTTAAGGGATGGGGATGTGGGGATGCATCCTGAGGGGGGGGGGTTAACCTCGATATAAGCTTAACGTGTATATACACACTCTGGCTGCCTGTCCCCGACACAATGAATTATTATTATTAATTATATTGGACAAGAGAACATTGCATCATGATGACATGTTTAACAGAGTACAAGCGACTGCAGGCTTGCACAGTTGCCAGATAAGACTGCAACGTGGTAGTACGTGGATGTGTATGTAGTACGTGGGTGAAGAATTTACAGCGTTGTGGTTCGAACAAAATTCGTCAGTGAAGCACTTGTTCCGGAAGTGTTCGAACGTCATCAGTTGTGAGTCGTGTGTAAACCGTTTTTCATTCATAAACAGCTGGGGGTTTGGCGGGTGGATGGAATGGACTTTGGCCTTTGTTTATGAGGACGGGTTGATTTCTGTCTCTTCCTGGGATCGAACCCGGGATCGTAGATTATGAGTCGAACACGTAGACCACTATTCTACATAAATATAGCATATTTGCCGACTATAATTTTGGTTGTGAATGTTGAACGAGGAAAAATATAATTTTGCTCGAACATAAGCGCCTTTCATAACGAAATAAGACGAAAATAGTGGCAGTTGAAGCTAAATGAAGTTGATGATCTCAACGCCTGTATTGTGGTTTAGACCTCGATAAAAGCCAAACGTGTATGAATACACTCTGGCTTCCTGTCCCCTAACACACTGAATTAATGAATTAAAGCTGCATATAATAAACTTGAAACTGAACTATACCTTGGTATTTAAATCTATTGTCAAAACCATACTACTTCAAGAGGCTATAGGGCTGACAAAAGAGCCCTTACACTCAAAGAACAGAAAACAGTAGTATAGTAATATTTATAGAACTGAGATCTATATTTACGATCAGAATAAAACATCAACCAGTACCTAACAAAATCGCAGATTCACGAAAGCACTTACGAACCTGTACATCTTTTCTCAATCTTTGGCGGCTTTGTTTCCAATTATTAAACAGTTAATGAGCTCCGAAGCACCAGGAGGCTGTTTATAACAATAACAGTTGATTGGGAAGTTTTCATACTTGTAAACTGTTCAATAAATGTAAACAAAGCAGTCAAAGATTGAGGAAAGATGCACACGTTCGTAAGTGCTTTCGTGAATCTGGCCCAGCGTTTAGGCAAAATGAGCCAGACATAAATTAAGTCAATAAAATAAGATACCCCTCAAAGAGCCATCGATCAACTGCATTAATCTTTGATTACATGTTTATGAGTGTAAACACTCTATGCAAATAAAGGGACCTAGCCTATGAAACTCACTCCCTAGCGAATTGAAAAGTTGACCAACCTACGCTTTATTCAAAAATAAAACCAAAAATGTACCTAATATCATCCTCATACTTTCCTACCAAGTGCTTTAAACTCACACTTGTGCTACCCAACCCCTCGATATATGTGCCTAAGCCATACAACTTCACCATTGTAATCACTGTTATCATCTTATATCATGGTCTGCTATCATCTATATATCAATTATATTACTACATTATACCTAGAAATAATCCTCAAATTATGCTACAATGTATCTGTTGATAATCCTCAAATTTTAATATAATGTACCTGCTAATCTTCGTCAATTTTTCTAACAATGTACCTGTTAACATTTCTCAATTTTGTTCGAAATTATCTACTTAAAATTATCTGTTAAATTAAGGACTTGCCCGAAACGCTATGGGTGTTTTTTGCTTTATAAGAATGTAAAAACATCAATGCTGTGTACTCTCATAAACCCAATGTACCTTCTTGTATAAATAAATAACTAAATAAATACAGATATTGGGAAAGAAAGCAGCATTAGGTCAGAAGAGAACCATTAATTAAAGCAGCAATATGAAAATATAACCATTCATTAACGATTGAAAAGTATGGGAATATATCTATAAATTCATCATTCCCGCTGCCGATCGAATGGCTAAAGAAAAAATGAGGCTATTAATTAAGTAGATCAAGGGACCCAGAATGTGGAATGACCTTCCCAATCATGTTAAAGACTGTACCTCTCTCAACCAGTTTAAGATAAAAACGAAGCACTACCTAATAAATTCCCTGTAACCTACCTTACCATTCTATTGTCAACTCGTCTTTTCGTTGTTTTTTTTTTAACAACGCTGTTTGTCGACCTAATTGTATTTGTGCTGCTTTTTCAGCCATGTTCCCCCCTTTTTTTATCTCTATTTTTATTTGTTCTCAACACATTTTATTCTTTACTCGGTACCCTTACTCAAATCTCTGAATATGTTAGATATTAAGTCACTGCACATTCTCTTTTGTGTATTATACATATATAAAACGCTGAACTGTAATGCCAATCCTGACCTCAAAAGCTTCATTGAAGGTTGTAACAGAACCCATGAGCACCACACCAGAAATAAATACAGTTTTGATATTCCTAGAGTACGACTTAATCCAACTAGAAATGTTCTACAAATCAAGGGGCCCAGAATGTGGAATGACCTTCCCAACCATGTTAAAGACTGTACCTCTCTCAACCAGTTTAAGATAAAAACTAAACACTACCTAATAAATTCCCTGTAACCTACCTCACTCCTCTATTGTCAACCCATGTCTGTTATTTTTTTAATCAACACTGTTTGTCAACCTATTGTATTTGTGCTGCTTTTTCAGTCATGTTCCCCCTTTTTTTTATCTTTATTTGTATTTGTTCTCAACACTTTTTATTCTTTATGCTCAATTAGTATTAAGTTCTAGATATTAATGTTTTTCTTGCCCGAAACGCATTGCGTAATAGTGGCTTTAGGCATTGTATGTACTAGCTCTACCTATATATCAATCCATTAATGTAACATCACTTGTATGTATGTACCTTACCTGAATAAACATATTTATTTATTTATTTATTTATTTATACTCAATTAGTATTAAGCTTTAGTCATTTAAGTTTTTCATGCCCGAAACGCTTTGCGTAATAGTGGCTTTAGGCATTGTATGTGCTAGCTCTATCTATAAATCCATCACTCTTTGTAAAATCTCTTGTATATATGTACCTTACCTAAATAAACATTTATTTATTATTTATTTATTTAGAAGAAATCATCGCCTTGAACTTAATTGTATCCTAGTTTACGTTTCATTATTATTTACGTTTTCTTCCAAAACCCTTAACGCATTGAAGGAAGAAAATTTGTAATGGGTAAACTAAACTAAAAATGGTAGTGTTATCTAAGTCCGTGGATTGCTCTGTCCGAACTTTAACAGTTCTCGATTTGGTTTATTTAAATTTTGGTTCTTGTGACACTGATCAGCAAACTACAACACATAATATTATACAAGCTCTATAATGCAATAATTTGCCTGTTAATGGTAACAAACCCAGTTTCCATATAAACAGAAACGATGTGTTAATAACGGAAACCCAGAACTTATTACACACAGAAATCACAATTGCGTGATGCATCAAATGAACAAATCCACAAGGGCCATGCTGAGGATTCGGTTTCCGTAGAAAAAAGTAGTTAGTAAACAGTTGATTGACAGTTGAGAGACGGGCCGAAAGAGCAAAGCTCAACCCCCGCAAACACAACTAGGTGAATACCGCTCACGGGATGGGTATGGGGTGCATAATATTGAGATTGAACTGAGGATACGAACCCATGTCAAATTGCTCGCGAATCGCACATTATGCGTACAGAGACAAATGAGATTATTAAGCATGTATTGATTTGTTTTCTCTGGTTCTATATAACGTGCCAAAACTATAATCAGACAATGTTGCATTGCTAATATATATTTTACGGACCCCAAAGAGATTTGTGGAAGGTTTCTCTGAGAATGTTCGGTAATACGTTTATTGCTTGTGATGTGTATCTATGAATGTATTAACACGATGTACTGAACGGGGTGAGAATAGCTTGAGGTACCTCATCCCTTTGTGTGTATTTTACCTCAATAAACTTATATCATTTTCAATTTCAATTAGGCAGCGGCGAGGTCTGGCAACACTGACCCCAACACAACAACACTAAGGGTGCGTGGTGGCGCAGGTCGACTGGCTTGTGCTCCTCTCATTTACACTTTCTCTGGCAGGTATGGTCGCTGATAAGGTGTTTTTACAGGCTTGATGCCTTCTTTGGGTAATTGGTTTCTTTCTCACGTAGGTAAAGCTCTCTTGCACTAGTCATCATGTGCAGCAACTCTTGTATATCATGAACTAGGGTTCTCCTCCCTTAGGCTAACAATGTCTGTATGTGAAGTCGGCGCTGTAGTTATGCTTTATAATTCGTTTTATCGGGGGACAGGCTGCCTGTGTATATATATACACACATTAGGCCTATATTGAGTTCCCCCTCATGATAGAACTACTGGTCTGTCCCAGAATGCAACCCCACAGCAGTTGATTAATTCCCGGGTACCTATTCACTTCAAACTGAATCAGTTATAATTTTGTTAACACTTTAATCAAAATGGTGCCCAACCACTTGGGGTTGGAGGGTAGAGCGACGGGCTCGCTTCATGCAGGTCGGCGTTCAATCCCCGAATGTACCGAGTGGTTGGGCACCATTCTTTGCCTCTATCCCATCCCCAATCCCTATCCTGATCCCTTCCAAGTGCTACTGTATAGCGTCATAATGACTTGGCACTTTTTCCTGATTGTTCCCTTCCCTTCTCTTTAATCCAAATGTGGTGTAGCTCATTTCTGGTGGATGTGGGAGTCCCGGGAAGTGAGGAAGCACATATGCTAGTGTTAGGTGCCATAAATCTGAGAATTGCATGCCCTAACTAATATTGATCTAAAAAAAAAAATAAAAACAGACTGGAATTATAGAAGATATGACTTAGTATAATTAAGATATTATAGAAGATATGAAGATATATTTGGCAGCAGTTAGAAGAAAATGTCACCAGATAGGGCAGATCAAAATGTTGGAAATAATTAGTTCCTGTTGAAGACTCGCACACCATTGTGTAAAATATTCTTCCCACCCCCCTCTACCCTACACATTTAACTAAAAATACATCAAATTCATTGGCAACTATAAGCTTGTTTCCTGTTCTGTACTTATGTTGAGATCCTATTAAGTTGGGAACATTTATTACATGTACTGTAATGTACTTAATAATATTTAATTACTTGGCCTTATTTGTACTAGTGTAGGCCCAGGCCTGGTGTAGCACATGTGTGTACTAGTCACTGATGGGGAAAATGATAACAGAGAGAATACTTCTGATCATGAATGCCTTAAAAAGCAGCCTGTTGTGAAAAATGCTAAGGCCTAAGATAACATGTATAAGGCCTAGGATTGCTAGGAGAGGTTAGGTTAGATCTGGTCCTATAGTTGTTGCAGTTAAAGGTTATCATTTGGCCAAATTCAATAGTACAAAAAGTAAATTGACCAGACCACACACTAGAAGGTGAGGGACGACAACGTTTCGGTCCGTCCTGGACCATTCTCAAGTCGATTGTGATCAACTTGAGAATGGTCCAGGACGGACCGAAACGTCGTCGTCCCTCACCTTCTAGTGTGTTGTCTGGTCAACATCCTTTAGCCACGTTATTGTGACTCATCGCCTGCATACTAAAATTAAACTTTTGAGGGGACCATCACTACATGTTAGTACAGTACTGCACTTTCAAGCAAATAGTTACTACAGTATAAGTAATTTTATTTTAGGAGGATAAGCTGCTTTATTTGCTACTAGAAAATGTACTAAAAATAATTTTTGTTTTACTATTTTGTATTTTTATACAGTACTGTACTGAAAACATTTAAATTTTGCATTTCATGATAATTTTGGGAGGATGTATTTGGACATTATTTTATATTTGAAAATAGAAACAAAATTGTACGTATTTCAATTTAAAACAATTAGTCCTCTGAATTGTTATAGATTTGTTCATTGTGCCACTGGAAAGAGGAGGTAATTATTTTATCATAGTTGTGAATAAAAGTTACAAAAATAAACATTTTGTTTTAAGCCCTATTTAAGGCAAGAAAAGTATAAGGATGAAATGAAAGTTCTGTGGCAAAAGGTCATATAAGAGTGTATTTTGGTTAGACCATATACTGCAAGTATGTTCCATCATACTGTATTTACCTATATACCATGTTGAGGTATAATATTGTATATATATGTATGACTTCTGAGATGCTATATAAAAGCTCTAAGTTTACCAAATGAACCACTTGTTTTATTATTGGCATATCTAATTTCTATAGAAATTGTCTCACGTTTGAAGTGATTTGTATCTCTTACACCATATGGGCTTACCATGCTCTTACCCGCCATGGACTTTATATGCCTTAGAGTTGCTCCCTGGCAGTTCATAGTGATTGTGGCATTTGCAATGATGAACCTTGTTATTTCCTGTATTGAAAAGGGCAAAATATTTCTTATATTAAAAAGGGCAAAATGCTATCTTGATTTCAGAGGGACATGTGAATCATGTAGATTGTGAATGCAAAGCCTACTGGTTTATAGTTTGCAGTGCCCCTTGGATGCACTTGAAAATAAGCACCACCCAGACCTATCACTGGCAATAAAAAAATAAGTTAACACAGTGAGAAACGAAACCATCAAAAAATACGGTCAGTGTGTATTTTGTGGTTATTGTGACAAAATTTCTAACAGCCTAAGTCTGATTTTTTCATTACTGTACTTGCTTTTACAGAGGATAGATTAGATTTTTTTATTTAAATTTGTATTTCGGTGAATATTGGTTAAAATTAGTATGTGGCTTTACCCAAGATCTCACGCTTGGCTTTGGTTCCAGGTGGCGTTAGTGCTTGACGTCATTGGATTGTCCTTGGAAGTACAAGTATGATCCACTTGGGATATGTATGACGTATCTTTGCCAGAAGACATCCCAAGAATTGCATAATTATCAAGAAAATTAAATGTTTACGAGTGAAAGAACGTATCTCAGCAGATTTTGTCAAGCTTATTAATACATAATTGAGATTTTAAAAGTATTTATAGTGAATAAACATTAATCATGGGTGTAAAGGGCTTGTGGAAGTTGATAGAAAGTACTGGAGTGCCAGTACCTCTTGAAACCTTGGAACATAAAATTTTAGCTGTTGATGTATCCATTTGGCTTCATCAGGCTGTAAGAGGCTTTAGAGGACCAGGAGGAGCTGCTGTTGCAAATGCACATCTCCTGACTCTGTTTCATCGAATTTGTAAACTACTCTTTTATCGTATAAGACCTGTGTTTGTGTTTGATGGTGGTGTTCCCTATCTGAAGAAGCAGACCCTAGCCTCACGAAAAATAAGGCGGGATGTAGCTGCAAGTAAAGCTCAGCAAGTGCGAGAACGGCTTCTTAAAAATCTCCTGAAAAGTCAAGCAGTCCGAAAAGCTTTGGGGAGGTCAGGGCCTGGTCCAAGTATTGCCCATGTAGCGAGACCTCAGAAAAAAGAAAAAGATATGTTTGAACTCCCACCAATTCCTGATTCTGAAAATCAATTGACTTCTCTGAAGTCTGAAGATTCTGAAGATGAAGGTGATTACATTTTAAAAAATCTGAAATTGCCAAACCTCCATCAGTTTGATTTTGAAAGTAAGGAATTTAAATCTCTAGCAATAGAAACCCAGCATGAAATCCTTTGTGAACTTCAGGACACACGTAAGCAGAATTCTTGGAGCAGCATTAATGAAATGCCTCGGCAATCTGAAAGCTTTGCTGAATTCCAAATGGGTAGACTTATGAAAAGACGCAACTTTCAGGCTACATTAGATTCAACGCGGGATGAAATAAGGAAAAGAAAAGCTGCTGAAATGGAGGCCGAGATGTTCGGAGAGTTGCAGAAACATGTTAGTCTGTCCCAGCGAATCATTTCTGAAGATGATGCTCATTCCATTCTTGTGAAGAGGATAAAGAATGATGAAAAATGTAATGATGCTGCTGAAGTGTTGAAAGTAGACAAGGGTAAGTCTCCTATGAAAAAAAGAAACCAAGGTTTTGGAAAAGATTTTTTGACTGAGTTAGCCAAACAGGGAGTTGTCAGGGCCTACCCTCATACTGATTCTGATTCTGATTTTGAAGATACATGTTATCCATTAGAAAATTCAGACAAAGATTACTCAAGTGAAAACGAAATTGGAGGTAAAAGATCAGTTGACACTGAGGAGGAAGGTTTCCTCAATATTGTTAGCTCACTTATGGAGAACAGTGGCTTGACACAAGAAGAAATCCTTACCATGATAAAACAGGAGAGCAGTAGCCAAGGTCAGCAGGAGCACAGTAGTGAAAAGGAAAGTGGGCCATCGACGTCAGAAAATGCTCCAGGGTTTGTTTGTAATCCTGATGCTGATTCAGCATCAGATGATGATGAGGACTTCATAGAAGTTTTGGAAACTTCATCCCAGCAGTTTCCCCAAAGCAAACAGGAAAAAGATGCAATTGCAGAAAAGGCAGAAGCAGATAATTTAGATAAGTTATTATCAACAAAGAGTGACAGTTTATGGATGAAAATCATTCACCAGAAGCTGGATGATATGGTACACACAAATGCATTTAAAACCTCCCCCAAAAAAGCCGTTTTAGACAGCCGCAAACTCATTTCTAGTAAGGTTAATAAAGAGGATAATAATGATAATGGAGTTGAAAATTTAAAAGCTGTTAAAATTTCTTTGGATTTTGATGTCAAACCTTTGAAAATGGAAGATGATATTTTTGCTGACATTTTTACTGAGATTAACAAACCACTTTCAAACCTTAAACAAAATGCAAATAAAAATGATCCTGCAAGATTAGTAAAACCTCAGGTAAATATTCAGGACTCTGTTAACAAAGCAACAAATGGAAGTAATGTAAATTTGACAAAGAATACTAACAAAAATGAGTTGTTACTTTCTCAACCAGGAATTGATTCTGCAATAGAAGACAGGTTGCATGGTAGTACTTGTTCTTTGAAGATTTCTGCCTCAGAACAACTTTGTACAAAGGATCCCAAAATTTCATCAGTTTGTTCTGCTAGAGAAATGTCCAGTACAAAACATAAAAACCTAGAAGTTGATAAGGCATTGCAGAACAAGGTAAATGAACTTGTTAAATTGAAAATTGAAGAATTGGTGAATAGTAAACAAAAGCGGTCAGATCTTGATAACTTATCCATAATGGAAGAACAAGATCAGGATGATGTAGAACTGATGAGTTCCAGTGAGGAGAGTGATTGTGATGAAATGGCTAAGAACCATCTACAGCTGGCAGAAAAGCCAAAATTAAATACAGTGTGTACAACTATAGCAACCACAACAACAGATGCCATGCATGTGTTGTCTCCTTCAGATAGTGCAAGCAACAGTAACATTGAGGAAGTATGGGAAAGGGATAAAAATACATTAAATGTTAAAATTAATTGTGAAGCAAGTAAAGCGAGCAGTAATGCACAACAGGAAAATGGAATTAACTTTAAACCTGTCGTAGAACAGCAGTCAAGACACACCAAATCAGTTCTAGTCACTGATGGGGAAAATGATAACAGAGAGAATACTTCTGATCAAGAATGCCTTAAAAAGCAGCCTGTTGTGAAAAATGCTAACACTAACATTGATCATGAAGCTCAAGAGAGAGATTTGGATTCAAGAACAAAGTGTGATCAAACATTGAATTTGTTAAATAAAACAGAAAGTGAGAATGTTGAGGTGGTTGAAAGACCCCAGAAGATTTCTGAGGATGAACTGAAGCACTTGGAAGGAGAACTGGCTGCAGAACAAAAAACTTTGGTGGCTCAGGCACAAAAATCAGACCGAATTGCCTCTAATCTCAACGAGCAAATGTATGGGGAGTCACAGCACCTTTTACAACTTTTTGGCATTCCTTATCTTGTAGCACCAATGGAGGCAGAAGCACAATGTGCTTTTCTTGATTCTGTGAATCTCACTGGAGGGACTATTACAGACGATTCTGATATATTTCTGTTTGGTGGGTGCAAGGTTTACAGAAATTTCTTTAATCAAGCTAGACATGTAGAATTTTTTAACACTGGCAACATTAAAGCTAACATAGGATTAGATCGGCACAAAATGATCACTTTAGCTCTTCTTACTGGGAGTGATTATACTGAAGGTGTAGAATCAGTTGGATCTGTAACAGCCATGGAAATCCTTGCTGAATTTCCTGGAGAAGGTATTGAATGTCTTCACAATCTTAAAAAATGGTGGAATTCTGCTCACAAAAATGTCACCTCAATGTTTGCTTCTAAAGTGAAGCAAAAACTGTCTCGTGTAATGCTTTTGGAATCTTTTCCAAATGAGAGAGTTTATGAAGCATATCTTGAACCAGAAGTAGATGAATCAAGAGAAAAGTTTACCTGGGCTGTCCCTAATGTAGAAGCTTTACGCACATTTACAATGGAGAAATTTGGTTGGAATCTTGCTAAGGCTGATGAGATATTATTACCAGTTTTGAAAAAATTGGGAGTGAAAACATCTCAGATGAGGATTGATTCCTACTTTACTAACATTAAGCTTGTAAAAGAACCAAAAATAACCAGCAAGCGCATGCAAGATGCAATTGCAAAGGCAAAAGGGGAGAGCCCACCCAGTTGTGGATCATCGACAGTGATGAATAAATTAAGAAAATCCTGCATAAGAGGTAAGCCAGAGAAAAAGAAGAGAAACTTAAAAGATTCTGAAAATATGTTGGATGAAGCTGCAGATGATGGCTCTGCAGTTATGGTGGACAGTTTGCCAGCAACTGACAAACCAACATCCTCAAAACCCTCGAAAACTTTATTAATGGACCCATCGGAGAGTAGCAGCAACATAATCGAGTCATCCGAACCAAAGAGAAAGCGCAAAAAGAAGTCTGAGAATTCAAAAGAGAAAGTCATGCCGACATCATCTGCAAGTGACAATGATAATCAACCACCAAGAAAGCTAACCAAGGAAATCATGTATAAGGCTCTGTTAGAAAAAGAAACCATTAGTCAAAGGGAATCTGATAAAATGAAAATGCAAGAGAAAAAGTTGGCAGCAGCTCAGCTATTAAAGAAGCAACGTGGGTCAGGCAAAGCATTTAAGAGGTGATAGGTAGAAATACTATACAAGTACATACCTACAATTTTTTTTTTTATCTTTTTTACTATTAAATATATGAGCTTATGTTGAAGCTAAGATATAACTGGATAGTTTTTTTTAGTTACACATTTCCAATAGTATATTTATATCTGACACTGAATTATTGAAATGTTACCATTTTAATTTGTTTGATTAGAACCTGTGAATATGGAAAAATATATTTTTGAAGGAATCCTTGCATTAGATACCTATTTTGTTTTTTTTATGTATGTGTTATTTTAAATTACTGTATCTGGTAATGTCTTTTCTCATATTGCTGTGTTGTCTTTGTTCAATACTAATAAAAATGACTTCACTTCCTTATTTCAATAATGAAACCTATCATCAAGTGTTCTTTTAATAAAATGGATATTTAATGGTGAAACGACAGAGTGACCTGTTGTAGCCGGGGGGAAGGTCATTGACCTGTGGGGGCCTGTATGAGCCTAACACACACTTCCTCTCCCTGACTGTGAGAAGCACATGGTGAATCATGTTAATTAATATGCAAGGTAGTTTGTGCCAATAGCATTTGTTATTAGTTTGGTGATATTGCATTGAACTGTATAGTACTGTACTTGGATTTGGTAACTGGATACCAGAAACTGGCCAGTCTGTTTTCCAGTTTAACCCCTCTAAAGCGAGGCTATCTTCAAATTTGTCACCCCTGCATGTCACCCCTCAAAAGAAAAAACTAAATAATTGTAAATCTGTGTTCAAACGGTAAGGAATCTGTGCAAAATGAATACCAAAATGTTTATTGGTGTTGGCAAGTGGTGCAGTTATGATAGGCTGATGAGGGACCAGGAACTGAAGTCCACCTGAACTCCACCTAAGTCCACCAAATTATTTTGGGGCCTCCCATGATCCTTGGGAGACACTATTGGGGAACATTGATATACAGTATGGATATTGACATAATGTGTAAATTGTATTATGATGACTGCCGTGTACTAAACAATCAACACAATTGGCAATGACTGCACTTTAAAGGACTAACTTCCCCTTAATGCAACTTTGCAGCTGTCTACCCATGTCAACCTACAGTTTAAGAACTTGTGACGGGTTGTGATATTGTAGCTATACTGAACCAAGATGGTATGGCTCTCCCTCACACAAATAAAAAAAAATACTGTTATTGGCCTTGCAGTGTGTAAGTCGTAGGTGGAAACCAATTAAAATCATCAAATAAATAATTAAAACAATTTACTGAAATATTAATGAACAAAAATGACACATGACAATACTATGACAATACTTGGCTATTATTATATAGCATATCAAATAAGTAAATGAAAGTTTAACTCTAATACAAAGCAAAGAGATATACTGGTGTACTGAAGACAACTACCATACCACCACGGCATCAGAGACATGGCGTTGGCTGAAGGCAGACGACAGGTGAGAGACACCAAGGTGTTCCAAGAGCACTAAGGGAGAGACTGGCTCTCCAGGGAGGCAGCCCCCTTTATACAGTCCAGCGGTGATGACTCATCCAGTGTCATTGCAAGGTGGACATCTGGTCAACTAGCAAACTGCTCGTTTGTGGCTGGCGGTGCCTTTGTGTTGAGCTGCACCACTGCCAGTTGAAGGTGGCTAACTGCTTGTTTGTGGGAGCAGACTACCGGTTAGCAGAGGCACCCGGCTTGCCTCTTGAGTCGTACCATGCCCTGGGTACGTCAGGCCCTGGGTGCTATGGAGACGTGGCAGGTCTGATGACTCATCTGGGCTGGTGTAGATGTAGACTTCCATTGCAGAGGCATTGAAGGTGAAGGGAAAAGGCAGTTCCACTGCTATGCAGGGGATTCACGTGACAAACTATACATCTACCTGCAAATAAAAGCAAACAAATAAAATATAGCCCCTGAAATTTTAAGAAAATAAAGATTTTTTTTTATAAGAACCATGGACTGAATCATGGTAAAATGTTTTATTCTGACATGACATTTTTGAGTTGTTCTACGCACTGATGAATAGAACTGGTGTTTTTGGTGCTCAAGCCTGATAATGGGTGATAGTCTGGGTGCAAGCAATTTTGTCCTACTGTATAAGGATTAGAAGTCAAGAACCAACTGATTCCATGTAAATTTATAAGAATATCAACTTGTGCCATAATTCACACTATACAAGCTGTAATGCATTTTCTCAACACCAATGATATATAAATTATTCTATACAATCTAATCAAGCTGAAGCGCTCAGTGGAATGAATTGATACATGAGCAGTGCCATGTAGAGTACTTCCATGGGGGTTATCACCGTCACCCATTAGCCAAGCAGACAAGATGATCTATTTGAACACTTGAGCAACGTGGGATGATTGTGCATGGTTCTTACACTGATCACTGCTGTGTATTCCCAACAGTGATTAAACACATGGATGTGAAAGTTGGCAAATGTTTTCCTAGGTTATTCAACACCAAATTTTCTATATTCAAGTAAATAACCCTGAGGCCTAAATTCATAACTTTCCCCTCCTCCTCCCAAAAAATTAACACTGCCAAGTTAACCCTTTTATTGTGGCACCTAACTTTCTACCGCCGCCTCCACCTTCTCTTCCACCTCTGATAAAAATCTTTAAAATGTTTGAGTACATGCTACAGAAAACTGTAGAATACTATAGAAAACATGGTCCAACTTGGTATAGGCCATAAGTGTTACCATATCATAACTGTAACTAATGAGCAGTTGCCAAAGGAATTGTTTGAAATTTCATTATACTGTATTTCTACTAAGAAAAGTCAGATTTGTACATATTGCATAGCTTGTAATTTTTTATTACAGCATTATTATATTTATCAATATAAAAAAAAAATCAAAATGTTTAAATTGAATATTGGGTGGAAATGAGTACAGAACAGTGTATGTAACAAGTTTTTATATGAATCACCACTAAATTTGTTAGTAGATAAATATAATACTATTATTGTTAATTATTATTATTAATATTATTATTATTATTATTATTAATATTATTATTGTGCTTATTAATCTTTGTTAAATTATCAATCAAGCTGTCGCTGTCAGTGCTATCAATCAGAGCTATCGATGTGCTTTAATATACCTACTAATCTCTCACTTTTTTTCTTGCAATGTACCTGTTATCATTTTATAAATTTTGCTAGTATTTACCTACTTAAAATTATCTGTTAGATTAAGGACCTGCCTGAAACGCTGTGCGTACTAGTGGCTTTACGAGAATGTAAAACACCATGCTATGTACCCTTACAAACCCAATGTACCTTCTTGTATATATATATAAATAAATAAATAAATATTTAAGTGTTGATACAATAAATTTATAATTATGTGCAGTAATATTTAATATACAGTATTACCATTGTGTTCCAACACAGTAATCTTTGGACGACATTTAGATTTTTAAGCGCATATTTTTTTTTTTTTTTTTTAAGAGTAAATTCTTATTTTCTGTTCATTTCCTAAAATTATTTGATACTGTAGCATGATTAATATTTCAGGTTGCTATGGCCTCCCTGTTTGATGATACTGTAGAAAATCTGAAGACTTCTGTTCCAAACATTCAAGCACGACCGGCCTCGGTCAAGTCACATGTGTTTGCTAAGCTAATCAATGGGAATCACACAGACTTTGCTGTCATTGCCTATAGGTGAAGGAAGCTAATTTTTAACTTGATCTTTTTAGTACTTCATAAAAACTTATAATGCTATAATAGTGAAGTTTTTTTTTTGTTTTCTTGGAGGTACTCCTTAGTGGCTTCCCAAGCTTAACTCTGGTACCACCAAACCCAACACATGAAGCCTCCGAGACCCATCTGTTGCCAACAGGGAGCCAAGACCAGAATCTGGTTCTCGCTGAAAGTCAGAGTGATCAGAGGATCATCAGTTCAACCACAAAACTAGAGAAAATTTAAGCTGACTTATCTTTAGTCATCTTGCTTCATGGCAGTACATGAATTTTATTTTCTGTAGTACAGTACTTTACCTCTTGATGAGGAGGAAATTGTCTTTCCATGCTAGGAAGAAAAAATGTTGAAACATTGCCAGTGTGCTTGTGCACGTTAAGACCTGCATTTTGCGCTTACCCTGCTCCTATTGGCGTTAGCACTTTAACTGAGGATGCACTTAAGAGGTATAAGTGAACTTCATGATCCGTGCCTTGTCTGAGTATTACTTCATCCAGGCTATTCCAGCTTCCTCATCTGATTTTTCAGATGGCACCATTAGATGCCATCTGATAAAGATGCCACCTAAAAAAAGGGCATCTAATGCTGTCATTTTCAGTTTTTGGAAGGTGTTTCAGTGTTCCTGAACTCTGATGGTCTTTCCTGTTGACTTTTATACCACCTGTTTCTTGAGATAATTTCTTGAGGTTATCTTGAGATGATTTCGGGGCTTTAGTGTCCCCGCGACCCGGTCCTCGACCAGGCCTCCACCCCCGGGAAGCAGCCCATCACAGCTGACTAACACCCAGGTACCTATTTTACTGCTGTGTAACAGGGACATAGGGTGAAAGAAACTTTGCCCATTGTTTCTCGCCGGCGCCCGGGATCGAACCCGGGACCACAGGATCACAAGTCCAGTGTGCTGTCCGCTCGGCCGACCGGCTCCCAAGTGGTTTGGCCCAGTGGATCTTTTCACTTGCAGGCATGTGGCTTGGTTAGTACTGAACTTTGTTTTTGGGCAATCACTTGCCATTTGAAGTCCAATAGACTCTCAGGAATTGCTCTGCTACTCCTAACAGCCAATTACCAGTTGTCCACTTGGCTGCTGTTGCCATCTATCACCAGGTGGCAGTACCGAGAGTGTAAGCACACTTTGTCGACTTAAATGCTTTTCTCACAGGCACCTTCTCTGCTGAAAACACCTGGTTGGTTAGTGAGACTTTCAGTTAAGTAGCAGTTCGTTTATCCTGAGACTCGTCTCTTGTACAATTAGCCAGTAATTTATAGAATACAGTACTTCAATTATGTGTGTATTCACTTTCGTTGCATGTCTCTCAAGCTTACCATCCAACGTTAGTAGTTTTTACTTCTTTATGTTATGCTGGTAATGTATTCGGTTGGACGCTCTTGAGTTGCTCAAACTCCTGAGATTCATTTGATCACGGTGTCACTTCTGTGTTCATGTTCTGTTTTTCCTAACAATTCTCGCTTGGTAATGTTGAGATATTTATTTTGTTTAACTGTTTTGTTTTTATATTTAGTCACCAGTAGGCCTTCAACTATAGTTGTGTGCATATGGTTAGAGTTTGCTGAAAACATTTCAGTTTGTGACTAGGTTCCTTCTTCAAACATTTTGGAGGGCCACTCTGGGGTCCTGCTAACGTCTTTGCTAGT